ACCGTGCACCTTAGAGGATGGATTGTTTGTCTCATGATGCCAGGGCTAACTGGGAGCTGTGCTTCATGCTGCTGTGCAGTATCAAAAGAAAAAAACAATTTCCTTTTGGGGGGAATGGAGGAAGGACTCAGTGGTTAAGAGTACTACTTACTGGCAAACTGGGTGTGATGGAGCGCATCTTTAATCCCAGCACTCAGGAGGGAGAGGCAGGTGGATCTCTGAGTTCGAGGCCAGCTACAGAGTGAGCTCCAGGACAACCAGGGTTGTTTCACAGAGAAACCCTGCTTTCAAAACAAAATAAAACGAAACAACACAAAACGGATCTGTTGGGGGCTGGAGAGTTGGCTCAGGGGTTAAGAGTACTTGCTGTTGTTGCAAAGGACCCAGGTTCAATACCTACCACCTACATGGAGGCTTACCACTTCCCCAGGCACCAAGTATGCATGTGGTTCACAGACATACATGCAGGTAAAACATTAATACGCAAAAAATAAAATAGGAAGGAAGGAAGGAAGGAAGGAAGGAAGGAAGGAAATACTTTACTGGGTGGTGGCATACACCTTTAATCCAGAGGCAGACAGATCTCAGTGAGTCCGAGGCCTGTCTGGTCTACAGAGGAGTTCTAGGACTGCCAGGGCTACAGAGAAACCCTGTCTCAAAAAACAGACAGAGAGTACTACTGGGTGCGCCTTTTTTTTTTTTTTTCGCCTGTCCTGGAACTCGCTCTGTAGACCAGGCTGGCCAGGCTGGCCTCTGCCTCCCGAGTGCTGGGATTACACCACCACCGCCCAGCAACTGGGTGCTCTTCCAGAGGACCTGGGTTCAATTCCCTGCACCCATTTGTGTGGCTCACACCATCTGTAACTCCAGGTCCAGGAGAACTGGTGCCCTGTTCTGGCCTCCAGGGTCACAAGGCTTGCACATAACTCACAGACATACATGCAGGCAAAACTCATACACACCCTAGGCTGGAGGTTCCCGGCAAGCACAGCACTGCCTCCCATCCCTCTCCAACAAAAACCTCCTAACCCAGCTCAGCCTAGGAACTTCATGGACCTCCTACTGTGTGACTGGACCTCCTACTGTGTGACCCGGATCTCGCCTGGGAGTGACTAATCCCTAAATAAACTTGCCTTTTACCTTTAATTCGGTGCACTAGGATTTACTATTTCAGCAGCAGAGAAGCAATTCGCATAAAATAAAAATCAGAAATTGAAAGCTGACCTGACAGCTAACACAATTCCAGCATTCAAAGGCTGAAGCAGGAGGATCCTGGATTAAGAGGCCAGCTCCGGTTACAAAGCAAGATCTGGGTGAAAGGGGAAGGGGAGAGACAGAGACAGAGAGAGAGAACACACTCAAGCTGGACTGATGGTTCAGTGGTTAAGCACACTTGCTGCCCTGGTAGAAGACCCAGGTTCAGTTCTCAGAACCCTCTTGATGACTCACAACCCTCTGTAACTCCAGTTCCAGAGGATCCAATGTCTTTTTCTGGCCTCTGAGGGCACTGGTGGACACGTGGTAAACCATCTACGCGTAGAGACAAAACACTCTCATGCCTAAAAATCAATAAATACTTTTAGGAGAGAGAGAGAGAGAAACTAGACATGTCTGTAATTCTAGGAAGAAGCTGAGGGAAGAGATCACTGAATTCGAGGCCATCCCTGCTGGTTGTCTTAAAGGGGTTAGTGAGTGTGATAAGACTTCCTGGGGAGACACAGCACACTCATCTTAAGATAGGGAGCCCACAACAGATCAAAGCGCAGATACCATCCAAGTCCAGCTTGGTGAACCAGAGTTTTATAGGGGTTACTTACAGGAATATGGGTGAAGGATTATTTTGGTTTTATTTTATTTATTTTATTCGTTGTTGTTGTTTTGTTTTGTTTTTCAAGAAAGGGTTTCTCTATGTAGCTCTAGCTGTCCTGGAACTCACTCTGTAGACCAGGCTGGCCTTGAACTCACAGAGATTCACCTGCTTCTCTCTGCCTCCTGAATGGGATTTAAAGCATGTGCCACCATGCATGGCAAGGGTGAAGGGTCACTTACAGGAGTAGAAATGACTCGGACATCAGTATCACCTCAGCATTGGCGACAGATCACAAATCTGGGAACCTGGAGCACACTGCACAGCCTGCTGAGAGAAATGGAGAGAAAAAAATAATTCTGGGGTTGGTGAAGTTATCTCAGTGGTAGGTACTGGCATAGTTTATGTGAGGACCCTGATTCCATTCCCGGAACCATAAGTGAATGAATTCATAGACACAACTATGGAAGGGTCACAAAATGGTTGGCATTCGTTCAGTAAACATGTGGGAGCTTGCTGTGTGCCACATACGGCCACTTCACTGCAATCACACTGCAGCTCAGACTTCAGAGCCTTCCAGGATGGAGAGAATAGAGGACATGGAAATGGAAGGAAGTCAGTTCCAGACACAGGAAACTGGGGGACAGAGATGAGAGACGCTGAAGTGCACCGGAGCAACCGGACTAGTGAATATATTGCCTGGAAGAAAGGTGGAGGCCAGTGGGCGGAAGGGGACGAGCCAAGGGAGTTGGGAATCACTTGGTAAGGAGCTCTGAATGAAGTGCAGGGGAGGCTGGGGCTTATTCTGAGGGCAATTTAATCCTCAGCTACTAAACTAATGCGGAAAATTGTTTTCGAGACTTCCTAAGGGTGACTGCAGAGGGTAAATGAAGCAAAAAGAAACCAAATACTTGGAAACCAGTCAGATCTTACATAGTTGGTGGACAAGTGATGTTCAGCTGCAATTCCAGCATTTGAGTGGAGGCAGGATGGTCAGGAATTGAAGGTCATTCTCAACAACCCAGCAAGACTGAGCTATGCTACCAGGTCCTGTTTTAAAAAATAAACACAAAACAAAACAAAATTTATCTGACTCCAAGCAAGAAAAGAAAGAATGTGAAAGCCAGGTGGTGGTGGCACACACCTTTAATCCCAGCACTCGGGAGGCAGAGGCAGGTGGATCTCCGTGAGTTCCAGGACAGCCAGGACTATTACACAGAGAAACCCTGTCTCGAAAAATAAAAAAACAAAACAAAACAAAAAAAAGGATGTGAAGGAGATATGCTGTGTGAATACAAATGGAGGCTGGTTTTAAACCACTCAGGCGTCCGGTGGATAAGACAGTTCGTTGCAGAGTGGCTGTGGGACTGAGTTAAAGAGAGTGTGCTTTCTGGCTTTAGCTTGGTGGTTTCATTCCCTGGGAGATAGGTCACTGTTAGGTGTTACAGGAAGGGGAAAGATTTCACCAGTGCAAGTGTTGCAGCTCTGAAGGGAAAAGTAATCTGGCAGTCGGGAGCCAAGGAATACCACAAAGTCACTCTGCACAACAAACCTCACACAAGAGGTTCATTGGGAAGGGATACAAGATGGCGGCTGCCCCTGCTGCGTGAGAAGGCGGAGCCCTGAGCAGGAGGCCGGCTTTGTATGGGGGTGGTGTGTGTGTGTGTGTGTGTGTGTGTGTGTGTGTGTGTGTGTGTGTGTGCTTTCATTGGTGGCCCGATCTTCGGGGAAGCTCAGGGATTGGTGGGATTCTGTGGCTTTATCTTTGTGTGTGTGTGTGTGCTTTCATTGGTGGCCCGATCTTCGGGGAAGCTCAGGGATTGGTGGGATTCTGTGGCTTTATCTTGGGGCAAGCTTACGGTTGTTTTTTTTTTTACCCCCTGTAAGGCGGAGCTTGACTGCCTGCTTCTCCAGGGGACTAGAAACAGCTTTTTCAATCTAGAGTAATGTTGGGTGGGGGGGTTACAGTCTGTTTCACAAACCTAGTTCAAGTGGGAAAGGTACACGTGGTGGTGGCGACTAGCAGGCAAATACTTTCACAAACCAGACTGCAGAGCTCCAGGAAGCTCATAGTAATCGGGCAGACTGTGCAGACTACTTTGAGCAGCTTTAGAAAAACGAGGAAACACGTTCCTAGGGTGGCATATGACATACTCGAATTTTTTTTCCCACCTTTTAAATTTATTTTTATTTGATGTTCGTTGGTGTTTGCCTGCATATACGTCTGTGTGAGGGTGTCCTGGACTGGAGTTACAGACGGATGTGAGCTGCCATGTGGGTGCTGGGAATATAACCAGAGTCTTCTAGAAGAGCAGTTGGTGCTCTTACCTGCTGAGTAAGAACCCCGACATACGAGAATTGTTGCGAGGTTGTTAGCGAAGGATTCACTTTAAGCATTAGAGATCAAGGAATTAGACTACCAAGCCAATGCTGGGTGGCTTACAAAGACTGTTCTACTTCGGAGCACTTTTATTTATTTTTTAAATATTTATTTATTTATTATGCATACAATATTCTGTCTGTGTCTATGTCTGCAGGCCGGAAGAGGGCACCAGACCCATTACAGATGGTTGTGAGCCACCATGTGGTTGCTGGGAATTGAACTCAGGACCTTTGGAAGAGCAGGCAATGCTCTTAACCATCTCTCCAGGCCCTTCGGGGCACTTTTAAAGATTAAGAAGTAATTACCACCAGAAAATCAACACTCCTGTGGAAGGGCTGTAACTAGATCACAATCACTCGGATCAAGTGTTCTCCGGCAGAATTCAGGGAAACTGGATGCTGATGCTGACTCCGAAGCTAACACCTCTGCAGCCTTCCTCAGAGGTCCTCATTCTTCCCAGTCACATCTTTCTCACGTATAAAATAACAATAATGCGAAACTACAAATCGTCAACCTCAGTAGGGTCGTTAACACAAAGCTCGGGGACACAGTGTGCGCCCTGTGATAGTCCGAAGTCCTAACTGAAGTGGTTCCTGTCCCGGAGTTCTTTCACAAGCCCCAGGACATCTAGGACGCCACTGATTCGGCTCGGTTTTCTGCGCGCACGTGAGAGGGGCGAGGTAGTGAATAGTCTGCGCAGCCGCAGAACGAGTTGCAGTATCGCCTACGACCTCTAGAGGGAGCCCAGAGCTCCCGGGTTCGCCCCGCCCCGTCCCGCCCCGGGAAGGTCAGGGGTCAGTGGGTGGTGACAAACCGGCTGGTGGTGGAGGTGATAGCGGGTCCTGGGTCGATGGCGCCACCGCAGAGATGTCCTCTGTGTCGCCAAACTTTCTTCTGTGGTCGCGGACACGTCTACAGCCGCAAGCACCAGCGGCAGTTGAAGGGGGCTCTGGAGCGGCTTTTACCGCAGGTGCGGAAGCGAGGCTGGAGGAGGCCAGGAATGCGGGCCGGGCTCGCGGGCCCGCAGCTGTGGTTTCAGGGTCCTAGCTGGCTTGTGTCCCTGCAGGTGGAAGCCGCCCGCAAGGCCGTCCGTGCCGCCCAGATAGAGCGCTATGTCCCCGAGCACGATCGGTGCTGTTGGTGTCCTTGCTGTGGCCGCGAAGTGCGAAAACACCTGAGCCACGGAAACCTGACAGTGCTGCACGGGGGTCTGCTGGAACATCTGGCCAGGTGACATCTGGGGAACACCCGCCTCCCCCGTACACACGCAGAAATGTCTACACGGTGGGAGGGAAAGTTGGAACTGAGGAGAGGAAGGTCGCTTTTGTGACTTAATTGGGGTAGATTGAATTACCTTGCCAAGCTTGCAGCTTAGGGGCTCTTAGCATCCACTACCGCCGTCTTGTTAGAAAAGCCGCTTCCCTCCCTCCCTCCATCTTACTCTATTGGAGGAAAGGAATCCCGAGATTGAGATCTTGAAGAGGTTGGTAATAAATAATGTTCTTTTGTCTACCTCTCCAAAGAAGCAGCCCAGATGCCAGTCTGCATTACTTACCTAGTGCTCTGATAGCCTGTACTATTTTACTATCTTACTGCCTTGCTAAGATTACTCTTCCTCTCCGTTCTCAGCCCAGAGCATAAGAAAGCCACCAACAAATTCTGGTGGGAGAACAAGGCCAACGCTCAGATGAAAGAGAAGTTTCTGATCTCCCCCCAGGAGTATGCCCGGTAAGTCACCTGGTGTAAGAGATGAAGTAGCAAAGTGAACACTCCAGGTGTTTGTCAGGCACAGAAACTGCTTCGAAGTGGAAAGCTTCAAAGGAGCGTCTGTATCCAGGACTAGGGAAACTGAGAGTGGATTCTTGAGAGTTCAAAGCCAGCCTGGGCTATAGAATGAGACCTTGTCTCAAAACAAGGACACATTTGGGAAGTTCAGACTCAACTCTGTTAGTGCACATTCCTAGTTCCAATACCCAATGCATCAGGAGGGTCTCTCTCAACACACCCAAAGTAAGTAAAAGTTTGGGAAGTCCAGCAGCGACTTCATTGTTATCTAGTGTTTTCATAGCACTTTTTGTTAGTATGCGCTCCCCCCCCCCGCCCCCCGCCGCCAAGTTCTGCATTGAATGTGCACAAACAGAAGATGTGATGTCTGGGTATGGTGCTTTAGGCCCAGCCTCCCTGCTGTTTGGAAGGCTGAGACGAGAGGATGGCTGCCTCAGAGGCTAGAAGAGGGCATCTGGTCCTCTGGAACTGGAATCACAGATGGTTGTAAGCTGCTGTGTGTTTCTTTAAACCTAGGTCTCTGAAGAGCAGCTAGTGCTTCCAACCTCTGAGCCATCTCTCCAGCCTCCTGCATAGGATCGTTGGATAGTGAATGAAGATACATAGAAACTTATTGAGGGCAATGATGAGTACATTCTTCCCTTTCTTTTCCTTCCTTCCTTCCTTCCTTCCTTTTTCTTTTAGGAGACAGTGTTTCTTCATGTAGTCCTGGAACTCACTCTGTAGATCAGGCTGGCCTTGAACTCACAGAGATCTGCCAAGTGCTGGGACTAAAGGCATATGTCACCATGTTTGACTTACTCTTCTAAGTTAAAAAAAAAAAAGCTGGGGGGCTGGAGAGATGGCTCAGTAGTTAAGAGCATTGCCTGCTCTTCCAAAGGTCCTGAGTTCAATTCCCAGCAACCACATGGTGGCTCACAATCATCTGTAAAGAGGTCTGGCGCCCTCTTCTGGCCTTCAGGCATACAGACAGAATATTGTATACATAATAAATAAATAAATAAATTATACATAATAAATAAATATTTTTTAAAAAAAGCTGTAAAAGAGGATACAAATGCAGCTTATGGGAAACCAGTAATCCCCACCAAGAAGGCTAAGACAGGAGAATTGCATAGCCTGGCTTGTTTTAAGACAGGATCTCACTATATAATACATGCTGGCTTCAATTTAAGATCTTCTTGCCTCTACTTTTTCATGATGGTATTAGTTAAGACTTACTTTCATGTGTAGGAGTGTCTGACCTGTATTGTATGTATGTATGCTATGAACATGCAGTGCCCACAGAGACCAGAAGACGATGTTAGATGCCCTAGAACTGGAGTTACACAGTGGTGAGCCACCACATAGGTACTAAAAACCCAAACCAGGCTCCAAGAGCATCAAGTGCTCTTAACCTCTAAGCCATCTCTCCAGCCTTTATTTTTGATAATGTCGAGGGGAGGGGAGGGAGGACGTGTGAATGCAGGTGTCCTTGGAGGCAGAGGAAATGGTTTCCTGGAACTTTAGTTATAGGCAGTTGTGAGCAGCCCCACATGTGTGTGTGTTGGAAACTGAACTTGGGTTGTGCGCAAGAATGGTTTGTGCAAGCCGGGCAATGGTGGTGCACGCCTTTAATCCCAGCACTCGGGAGGGCAGAGGCAGGCAGATCTCTGAGTTTGAGGCCAGCCTGGTCTATAGAGCAAATTCCAGGACAACCAAGGCTACAGAGAGAAATTCTGTCTCAAAAATTATTATTTTGGGGCTGGAGAGATGGCTCAGTGGTTAAGAGCATTGCCTGCTCTTCCAAAGGTCCTGAGTTCAATTCCCAGCAACCACATGGTGGCTCACAACCATCTGTAATGGGGTCTGGTGCCTTCTTCTGGCCTGCAGACATACAGACAGAATATTGTATACATCATAAATAAAAAAAATATAAAAAAAAATTATTATTTTGTGTTTGTGTGTATAGGTGTGTCTGGTCTGTTGGGTGTGTGCACTTGAGCACCACTGCTTAGGGAGGCAGAAGTATCAAATCCCCTGGGCCTGGAGTTACAGGTGGTTGCCAGCTAAGCTGCCCAGCATGAATGCTGAGAACTAAGCAAGTCTACTGGTAAAGTAGTAGAGTACTATATGCTTTAAAAAAGATAATGGGGACTGGAGAGATGGCTCAGCGGTTAGGAGCACTGCCTGCTATTCCAGAAGTCCTGCGTTCAATTCCCAGCAACCACATGGTGGCTCACAACCATCTGTAGTAAGATCTGGTGCCCTCTTCTGGCCTGCAGGCACACATGTAGACAAAACACTGTATACATAATAATTAAATCTTTAAAAAAAAGTATTAACAAGAAAAATAAGAGTTATTTTTAAAAAAAGATAATGTGTGTCAGGTGGTGGCACACACCTGTGTTCCCAGCACTCGGGAGGCAGAGGCAGGCCTGGAAAGATCTCTGTGAGTTCGAGGCCAGCCTGGCCTACAGAGCAAGTTCCAGGCCTGGCTCCTTAGCTACTGAGAAACCCTGTCTCGAAAAACAAATGAACGAACAAATTATGTGTATGGGTTTTACTAGCACATCTGTCTGTTTATCATGTGTGTGCCTGATGCCCTCTAACGCTAGAAGAGGGCATTACATCCCCTATAACTGGAGTTACAGTCTCCCTGAAACACTGTGTTGGTGCTGGGAATCACACCTGAGTTCTGTAGAAGAGCAGCCTGTGCTCTTAACCACCGAGGCATCTCTTCAGCCCCACTTTTAAAAAAGATTAATTTAACTTTATTTTATGTGCATTGATGTAAAGGTATCAGATCCCCTGGAATTGAAGTAACAGGCAGTTGTGAGCTGCGTGTGGGTGCTGAGAATTGAACCTGGGCCCTTTGTAAGAGCAGCCAGTGTTCTTAACTACTGACCCATCTCTCTCCAGCCCCCAGCCCCACTTTTTAAGTATTGTAATATAAAACAAATACAGATGTGTTGTTGGGGATGAGTTTTCACTGTGGCCGAAGGAAGTTATATGTAAAAAGTGGAGGGATTTAAATAGGAAAATATTCCATGAATTGTTTAGATACAAAGGCTGAGTGATCAAGAGTGGCAGTTCAGCTGGGCGGTGGTGGCGCACGCCTTTAATCCCAGCACTCGGGAGGCAGAGGCAGGCGGATCTTTGTGAGTTCGAGACCAACCTGGTCTACAAGAGCTAGTTCCAGGACAGGCTCCAAAGCCACAGAGAAACCCTGTCTCGAAAAACCAAAAAAAAAAAAAAAAAAAAAAAAGAGTGGCAGTTCATGTACCTTCCAGTAAACAATGGGAGATGAGCAGTGTAGTTTTCTATCAGAAGCTGTCAGCCTGTATCTCACTGCAGGGCCTGGGGATGATGGCTCAGCAGTTAGAGAACTTGCTACTCTTGCAGAGCGGGAGTTCAGTTTTCAGCACCCACTAGTTGTGCAACTCAACCAGCTCCAAGGGATCCAATACCCTCTTTTGGTCTCTGAGGAAACTAGACATGCATGTGGTGTACAGACATGTATGTAGGTAGAACACTCAAATACATAAAAATTAAAAAGTGTGCCAGGCAGTGGTGGCGCATACCTTTAATCCCAGCACTCAGGAGGCAGGGGCAGGTGGATCTCTGAGTTTGAGGCCAGCCTGGTCTACAGAGTGAGTTCCAGGACAACCAGGGCTACACAGAGAAACCCTATCTCTGAAAATCAAAATAAATAAATAAACAAACAAACAAATAAATAATAGGGGCTGAAGAGATGGTTAAGAGGTTAAGAGCATGGGCTGCTCTTCCAGAGGTCCTGAGTTCAGCTCCCAGCACCCACATGGTGGTCCCCAACCATCTGTAATGAGATCTGGCGCCCTCTTCTGGCCTTCAGGCAGAACACCTACGGTGCATAGTGGAGCTGTCATGACAGCGTCACCAGTGTACCCAGGGGCTCATTTGACCAGTTTTGTTTTTGTGAGTTGCAAATTTTCAAAATTACAGACTTTGATGGCTCATCCCTGTAATCTCAGCACACAGATGGCTGAGGTGGGAGTTCTGTGCTAGGTTAAGCTACACAATCAGACTGTCTCAGTTTTTTCCCCTCAGAATTAAAAACTGTCTACTGAAGTGTTCTTTAAAACAGTGGGGCTGGAGTTCTAGGCTAATTTATCTCTTTACAGTTTGTTTTGTTTTTGTTTTTGTCTGAGACATGGTTTCTCTGTGTAATAGTCCTGGCTGTCTTGAAATTCACTCTGTAGACCAGGCTGGCCTTGAACTCAGAGATCTGCCTCCCAAGTGCTAGGATTAAAGGTGTGTGGCACCACCACCTGGCCCTTTCCGGTATTTTTATAATTCCTTCATTTTTAGGTTTAAGAAATCCATGCTGAAGGCCTTGGACTCCTATGAGGAGAAAGAGGATGCGGCAATTAAAGAGGTAGGAAGAAAGGCGTCTGCAGAGGCGCTCTCCCCATGATCCGGAACCACCCTAAGCATTCTCTCTCCCACAGATGGCAGCTCAGATCCGGGAAGTAGAGCAGAGTCGGCAGGAAGTGGTCCGATCTGTCTTAGAGGTTTGTTTCCCTCGGCGGACCCAGAGCAGTATCCAAATCCACTGATGCCTGGCTTACCCTGGTCCAGCATTCCAGCTGTCAACTCTTCTCAGAGAGCTAATGGGTCACAAGTCGATATGCCTCAATTACCTTCTCTGTGGGGGCAGGGCCCCTCAATGGAGACGTGGGCAGGGCTGGGAGTTGGTAAAATGGGCAGTATCCTCCATAATATTCTGGGGTCTGGAGTGCGGGCTCATGGCCCAGGGAGGCTGTTAAGCACCTTAGACACATTTATTTTTCCTGAATCAAACTCAGCCTCAGGCAGAGCCAGATCCAGAAGAGGGCTCTTCGGCACCTGGAAACTGGAAAGCAACCAACGGGTACGTTGTCAGGGCTCCTCTTTTGTTGGATGCTGGAAAATGGGAACAGATCTAATCTTTGCTGTCCTCATTGCTCAAGGACCTCATCTGCCAGCCTGGCTCCCCTGTCTTTCAGCCATGTAGCCTCCAGCTCACAGCAGGTATCCCACGTGGACCTGCAGCGTGTTCCAGAGCTTGACTGGATGGAGACTGGACAGCAGCTAACATTCATTGGCCATCAGGTACAATGGACAAGCAAACCGGAAGGGGTCATTGACCCCTCAGTTCCCAAGACGGCTGTCTTGGCTTTTCTACCTATTCTAACCATCTTCTCTTCCTGCTGGTTTTCCCTTACTACATCCTTCTGTGGTAGTGTTCCTAGACGCTATTGCAACCTTTCAGGGTAATATCTACTCTTGATACAGGGTATCCACACTTGGGTACTCCAACAGGCCATCTAAAATTATGCCCCACCACCCTGCCATTGAATCCTAGCACTCCTTTCTGTGTCTCAAATTGCTGTGTAACTTTGTTGAGCAATTTTACCTGCCTACCTCAGTCCCACCTTGGGACGGTTCAGTGACTGGAGTTCTTCAGAACTAGCAGTGTCAGTTGTGTTCCTTAAAGTTTGCTGTCTCCAGCTTTGAGTATTGTATCTCATGATTTATCTGGTATCTTATTTTCACCACAGGATATACCTGGCATTGGTAACATCCACTCAGGTAAGTTTCTGAGCAATGTTTCTATGTCTGCAAGACAATTTTGGGTGCTTTGTTTTGATTTTTGGTTGTTGTTGAGACTGGGTCTCAATTTGTAACTATGAATGGGGATAGCTTGGAATTCAAGATATCCACCTGTTTCTGCCTCCTAAGTGCTGAGGTTGAAGGTGTGCATCACCATGCCCAGCTGTTTTGATACAGGTTAATCCTTGAGCTCCTGCCACAAATTTTTTTTTTTTTTTTTTTTTTTTTTTGGTTTTTCGAGACAGGGTTTCTCTGTGGTTTTGGAGCCTGTCCTGGAACTAGCTCTGTAGACCAGGCTGGTCTCGAACTCACAGAGATCCGCCTGCCTCTGCCTCCCGAGTGCTGGGATTAAAGACGTGCGCCACCACCGCCCGGCACAAATTTTTTAAGATTTAATTATGTATAGTGTTTTGCCTGGATGCCAGAAGAGGGCACCAGACCTCATTACAGATGGTTGTGAGCCACTATGTGGTTGCTGGGAATTCAACTCATGACCTCTGGAAGAGCAGCAAAAATGGTGTTCTTAACCACTGTGCAGTCCCTACCAAAATTTTTGAAGTGCTAGAATTAGACAAATATACCTTATCTGACCTGTTTGCTATTTTCTTTATAAATAAAGCCTTAGAATTGAGCAAATAGCTTATTTTTAAGAGTACTTGCTGTACAGCAGGACACAGCTTCCAATCCCCAGCACCTATACAAAAAGCCAGGTATGATCCTAGCACCATTAGATGGAGACAGGTGGATCCTGTGAGTTTACTGACCAGCCAGTCACGCTAGCTGGAACCAAGCTTGTTTCAGTGACTTTTTTCTGGACAGTTTTTTTTTTTTGAAATATTTATTATTGAACTCAGGACCTTTGGAAGAGCAGGCAATGCTCTTAACCACTGAGCTATCTCTGTAGCCCCGGACAAGGTTTCTTTATAGCTTTGGAGCCTGTCCTGGAACTCCTGCTGCCTCCCCAGTGCTGGGATCTCAAGGCAGCAAGACTAACAGCCACAGAGGAACCTTTAACTCCAGCACTTAGGAGGCTGAAGGCAGGAAGGCCTTGATTTTGAAGCCAGCTTGAAGTACACAGAGAAACCAACTCCAAAAGGAATAAAAAGCCAACCAAAACAATGTTTAAAGAAACTACACCCAGTGCTTGGCTATTAGGTGAGGTGGCACTTCCTGCAATCTTGTGGGAGTGTAACATACCACCTTGAGAGCTCAGCATACACTTGTAAATGTCCGGTCTACATCCTCCACTGCCTCTGCCTTCCCCAAAGTGCCAATGCTGCCTTCTTTTCCCCCCTAGACAGTGTTTCTCTGTGTGGCTTTGGAGCCCGAGAACTCACTCTGTAGACCAGGCTGGCCTCAAACTCAAGAGATAGGCCTCCCTCTGCTGGGACTTAAGGTGTGTGCCACCAGCTCTCAAGCTCCAGAAACCTCAGATTTTTAATTTTGAGCACCACTGGCTGGGCCGCATCACATAGTAAAGGGCTTTGCTTGTTGTAGGTGCCACACCTCCATGGATGATCCAAGAGGAGGAACACAGCTCTGGAAACCTACCAATAGGACCTTCCTATGAAGAATTCCTTAAAGAAAGTAAGCAAGCTAGCTTCACACTCAATGCCACTTTTCTGAGCTGGTTGCAGTATAGTGGCATGTGTCAAGGGAACCAGCGACTTAGCTTTCGGAGACAAAACTACTCAAGTAGTCAGGTCACCATATTTCCTATTTGCAGAAGAGAAACAAAAACTGAAGAAACTCCCCCCAGAACGAGTTGGGGCCAACTTTGACCACAATTCCGATACCAGTGCAGGCTGGCTGCCCTCTTTTGGCAGAGTCTGGAATAATGGACGCCGTTGGCAGTCCAGGTATGTGTCCATACTCTAATCAGCTACCTCCTATGTTTTCTATTAATTTTGCTAAGTCTTCATTTCCTTTCAGGCATCAATTCAAAACTGAAGCCGCAACGAGAAACAAGCAATCACACAAGGGAAAAAGCTGAAGAGCCCTAGCCTGATAATCCTATGACCTCAGAGCCAACAAACCCATTCCAACTACTACTTCAAAAGCCAAATCCTCTCCAGTTGTATTTCTTAGGAAACAGAGCACCCATTGATTTGATTTAATAAAGCTTTATTTTTCCAAAAGTACAGCTGATTGAACCTGCAAAAGGATAAAGAGAGATAAAGTCAGAATTAGTATCTCAGAGGGACCACGCAGTATTTCAATGCCAAGAGCCCTTTGGTTCTCTCACCTGTTCATGCATCTTCACCAGCAGCTGGGGCATCTCCACCCTTTGTGTTTCTGGTGTAAATTACTTGGGCTCTGTGCTTTGAAACCAGCTTGATAAGCCCTGAGGAGAAAGGGTAAGATCTTAACTTTTTTGTGTTTGAAGGACTTTGCATGAATGTATGGCACATGTGTGCCTGATGATCTTAGAAGGCCACCTGATGCTCTTACAGAGTGCTTTGACTCATCTCTCCAGCACCAAGGACATGACTTTTATTAGACCCTAAGTTCTTAGAGTGGTGATTGAAAGAGGGTCTTATTCCGTAGCCTATGCGGGCCTGGAAATTAGGATCCTTTCAACCTTCAATGAGCTGAGGTCACAAGCATGAATCAGTGTAGCTACTTTTAAGATTTACTTTGTGTGTGAGGGCACACCTTTAATCCCAACACTTGGGTGTGACAAAGGTGGGTCTGTGTGAGTTCAAGGCCAGTCTGGCCTACAGACCAAGTTCTAGGGCAGGCTCCAAAGCTACAGAGAAACCCTGTCTGCGCCCCCCCCCCCCATTACTATGGACTAAGTGTGTGTGAGTGGCGGTATCAGAATGCTAATGTGTTGAGAAGTCACTTTTCTTCCACTCTGTTGAGGCAGGATCTCCCCTAAGAGGTTAACTGGCCTGAGAGCTCTTGGCTGATTCTCTGGTCTTACCATTAAATGTTGGGATTACAAACTAAGAGTCATTGCACAAGGGTCTCTCTGTAGGACACGCACTTCTATTCCAGCACCCAGCCCCATCAGTGTATTTAGTAAAAATGACTGTAACCAAAACAACTGAGGCAGGAGAATAATTTTCCTGGGCTACAGTGACACGGTTTCCCTAATAGGGCACAGTGGTATTTGCCTTTAATCCCAGTACCCGAGAAGCAGAAAAGGTCAGGAATTCAAGACCATGTCAATAACCATATTACACCAGCAGTAAGCTAGACGGCGGTGACACACATCTTTGATCCCAGCACTTAGGCGGCAGAAACAGATCACTAACAAGACAACCTAGTCCCCCAAACAAAGCACATCATCTTTTACCTTTACTAAGGAGCTCCTGAAGAGCTGCCCTGGCCAAGGAACCGCGAATCTTCAGTCTCTCAGAGACCACGGCTGGAGTAATAAGTTTATAGTTGGGCACTTCCTTACAGAGTTTGTCGTATGTAGCCTTGTCAAACAGGACTAGATTGTTGAGCTTGTCCCGAACTTTGCCTTTGGACCACTTCTGCTCATAAGAAAAACAAGAGAACACTAGTCAGCAATCCCGGCAGAATCATTCTTTCCCAAATATCCCAACTGTGAGAAACCCCCTGGTTATCATATCATATCAGGTAAAGACTTCACACTAAGTCACAGCGTCAGAGACTGCTAACAGTCCCGACAGCAGCTGTGCAAATGCTGTGGCTTTACACAATGTTCGCCGTGGTTCTCAACCTACGGGTCACCTATCAGAAACTTACATTTTATTCAGCAGCAAAATCACGCCAGGATTGATACCAGCACTCAGGAGGTAGAGGTAGCCTAGCCTGGTCTACACAGAGAAAACCGTCTCGAAAAGCTAAAAGCAGCAGTTACGAGGTAGTAGCGGAAATAATTTTATGGCTGGGGTCATCAGAAACTGTATTAAACGCCTCAGCATTAAGATAGTTGAGAACCGCCGGGCGATGGTGGCGCACGCCTTTAATCTCAGCACTCGGGAGGCAGAGGCAGGCGGATCTCTGTGAGTTCGAGACCAGCCTGGTCTACAGAGCTAGTTCCAGGACAGGCTCTAAAGCCACAGAGAAACCCTGTCTCGAAAAACCAAAAAAAAAAAAAAAGATAGTTGAGAACCACTGTTTTAAGGGAATATATACCACCAAATTCTTTTTTTTTTTTTTTTTTGGTTTTTCGAGGCAGGGTTTCTCTGTGGCTTTGGAACCTGTCCTGGAACTAGCTCTGTAGACCAGGCTGGTCTCGAACTCACAGAGATCCGCCTGCCTCTGCCTCCCGAGTGCTGGGATTAAAGGCGTGCGCCACCATCGCCCGGCCACCACCAAATTCTTGAAATAAGGACAAGAATCAGTAGAGAGGCGCAAAGTCAACAATATGTTTTACGTTTCTAGAAATTCACGATCTAAAGAAAAAAAAACCCCACAGTACAGGTTCATGAAAGGTCCCCCCAGAATCCTCCTCTATTACAAATGGCTACCCCGTACCTTCTTTTTGGCCTTGCCACCGGACTTATTTACTGGGTCTTTGTCTTTTTTGGCCGACTTTCCGGCATCTTTCTTCTTCTTGTCATCCTTGGGCGGCTAGGGGAAGAAAGCGAGAGTGCGGGCTGGTCATAGCGCGGCCCCAGTCGCCCCGACGGCTGCATCTCCCCGACCCATGGCTGCGGCGCCGGAGCACATGGACGCAATGCCCGCAGCAGCCTTGAGACGCAGCCACGCAGATCCCAAAGCGCTCCGTGTAGCGTCGCCTTCACCGCCCCGCAGCACCGCTCGGCCCCCTGAACCCCGCCGCCCAACACCCGCGAGCCTCACCATGATGAAGTTCGGAGAGTGGCGACGACCACTGCAGCCTCCCTAAGATGTCGGGAAAAAAGGAAGCCCGGCTCGCCAACAGTCCCAGAAACCTCAGCCACGCGAAAGTACTTCCGGGGCAAGAGGTGGGGCCAAGTTTACGCAAACTCCGCCTCACCCTCCTGCGAGATGGGGATGGGAGGCGTGGCTTTCAGCCTGCAGGCCACGCCCCCAGGCGCTGGTTGTGAATGCGGGGCTGTGCTGAGGGTCACCGGACAGACACTAACGTTCTTCTCCGACTCAGAGACACAGTAGACCAATGCCCAGAAATTCGTTTCTTCGAACTATGGCGGCTTGGTCTGCGCGTGCGCTTCAGGCAGATGGGAGGAGAGCAAAGGCGGGGCTTTGACGCCAGTTCCGGGGCTGGAAGGTCCGGAAGAGGCCGGATGGTAGCGCCTCAGCGGTAGCGCAGAGATGGCGATTTTCAGTGTGTACGTGGTTAACAAAGCCGGCGGCCTGATTTACCAGTGGGACAGCTACTCGCCACGGGCTGAAGCCGAGAAAACTTTCAGTTACCCGTTGGACCTGCTCCTGAAACTGCACGACGAGCGAGTCCTGGTCGCCTTCGGCCAGCGAGACGGCATCCGGGGTGGGCTGGGCTCGGCTCGAGGGCGGGGCCGGCTCTGCGGAAGTGGGCTGGTGGGCGGGTGCAGGATTGGGCGGGCTGAAAGGGGGCGTGGATCGGAGCGCCTCTGATCCTTGGTCTCTTCTGCAGTGGGCCATGCCGTGCTGGCCATCAATGGCATGGACGTGAATGGCAAGTACACGGCCGACGGGAAAGAAGTGCTGGAGTATCTGGGTAACTCTGCGAACTACCCCGTGTCCATTCGATTCGGTCGGCCCCGCCTTACCTCTAACGAAAAGCTCATGCTGGCTTCCATGTTCCACTCGTAAGTCCTCTCCCCGTCCCCCTTAAACTTTTACTCCCCAGCAGCTTTTTCTAGGATGCCTAACGTGTTTTCTTTGTACTGACAATCATTTTGTACCTCTTAAGTGGCTCAATTCTGGTGTCATGAAGAAATAACTGATAGAACATATCCAGGTTTGAAGTAGTTTTAACTCAGCTTCTCACCTCCTAATCTTAGCCCTAGCTTCTTTAACATAAGGGAGTTGAATTTTTTTTTTTTATTTTTTGAGATATGGTTTCTCTGTGTAACTCTGGCTGGCCTGGAACTTGCTCTGTAGACCAGGCTGGCCCCCAATGCACAGAGATCAGCCTACCTCTGCCACCCAAGTGTAGGGAATAAAGGTGTGCGCCAGCACTGCTCGGCTCGGTAATTGAATTAAGTAGACATTCAAAGTCTTCCTGTGACTACCTGCCGTGTGAGGTGTGTCGGCTTAGGCATAGTCATGAACTAAGAAGATATGCATGTGTTCCCTAGCGTGTTGGCTTTAGCTAACATTTTTAGTGTAAGATGTCTCATATCGGGACTGGAGAGATGACTGCTTGATGCTCTTGTCGAGAACCAACATCCATATGATAGCTTACAACCGCAACTCCAGTTCCAAGGGATTTGATGCCACCTTCTGGCCTCCGTGGGTACCTGGCACACACGTGGTATACACACGTACATACAAAAACCTCACACACTCCTGTAAGCCATTTTTACTTTGTCCTTTCTGCTACATAAAGCGGCCTATAGAGGAGGCGTAGAAATGAACTGACTTCATTGTCATCAGGTGACTGAGTGACCAGACTTGAGACCATAAATAAAAGAATAAATAAAAATTAAATAAATCTGAGGGGAACACTGCTGCTGGGTAGTTCACACTCTTTCTCCTGTCTGTCCTGGGCTGTAGTGAACTCCTCAGCTTCAGGAGCATTTTTCCCTCACCTCACCTGGTACATTGCCAACTTTACCTCCCTCGCGTACAGGCTATTTGCCATTGGCTCCCAGCTGTCTCCGGAACAGGGAAGTTCAGGCATCGAGATGCTAGAGACAGACACATTCAAACTGCACTGCTTCCAAACACTGACAGGTAGGCACCTATAGGGATGGTTGGGGCAGATTGGACCAAGGGATTGACCAGAGAAAGCTCTGGTAAATAAGGGCAGGGATGGTGTCAGGTTTCCAGGGACAATTGTGCAAATACATCCATTTGTCTTGGGAATCCAAAACCAATATTTAATCAGAGGCTGATTTTGTTTGTCACCCAGTATGCTCAACCCTGGTTATCTGAGTTTGGATAAAATCCACGTCAGTTAGGCTTCACACATTTTGGAAGATGTGTTGTTCCAAATAAAATTTGAAAGCCAAATGGAGATGGCCTTTCAATTCTGCTTCTCATTGCTTCACTCCTTGTTGCAGATAACTGAACTGCCAGAGTTTTGTCTTCTGCCTGTCTTGTTTCTGCTGAGAGATTCCAAGACTAAAAAATGGCATTTAGATCCCAAGTCTGGGCATTCGGTCACCTGGTGACAGTGAAGTCACTTCATCCCTAGCCTCCTGTGTTAGCTGCTTGATGTAGCAATAGGACAAAATAAAAATGGGTTTATGGGTCTTACGAAATGAAAGGGCTGCACAAAACGTAGGATGACGTTTGCTGCATTCTCTGTTCTTGGGTAACCGGACCTGCTTTTCTCCAGGGATCAAGTTTGTGGTCCTGGCAGATCCTAGGCAAGCTGGAATAGATTCTCTTCTCCGAAAAATTTATGAGATTTACTCAGACTTTGCCCTCAAGAATCCATTCTACTCCTTGGAAATGCCTATCAGGTAGGTAGTCCCATTCCTCAGATACTGTCAAAGCTTTACGTGGTCTCCCAAGTGTGACCAAGTATTGCCTTTAGGTAAGGCCAACAGTTGCCAGCTTTATTTATCTTGAGAACACGGGGTTTCCTTGTGCTTTGTGTTCTTCAGTAGTTTCTACTAATTCTCCCTCTACCCTTTGTGGCGGGGTCTGACACCTCACAATTTTTTGTCTTCTGGGTTTGGCCTAGATGTGAGCTGTTTGATCAAAACCTGAAGCTAGCTCTAGAGGTGGCAGAGAAGGCTGGCACTTTTGGACCTGGGTCATAGGCTGAACCTGGAATGAACGCCCTAAATTCTGAGACATGCTGCAGAAGGGCTTTGCTGTTTCCACTCCAGTGAGGATCCTATTGCAGTAGCCTTGTTAATATACTTGAAAGTGGGAGAACACTGAGCCCGGTGATAGGGACAGCTCCTGGGCTAGAATGCCTTGTTCCCTGCCCTTCTGTATATATCACAGTCCTACGCCCTACTCTGTACAGATTTATTTATGGAGGATGCTGGCTTAGCAGTGCTTTAATAAACATTCCTTTGTTCTAGTGTTTGTTGTCCTAGCGTATGTATGGTTTGGGAGAAAGGCATGGGAGGGGAAGGCAGAAATGGTAAGGGCATTCTGCAAAGGTGAGGTCCTATCTCCTAGCAGAAAACAAAATAAATTGATGTTCATTAGCTGACATAGTAGTTTGATTCCTGAGCCCTGGATGGAGTCCTAGAACTGATTTCCCGAGAGCCTGAAGTGTGCTGGTGGATGATGGAGTACTTGTTAGCACTTAGATTCAAGCTAAGTTTTATCTCAGTATGCACTCTAACCCTAGGATGTACAAACTACTACAGTCAGAATTTAGCAAAGTACAGAATAGCTGTGCTTCAAAGTCCTCAAGCCAGTCACTGATGGCCCGCGCTGGATTTGGATCCATGCTTTCTGACTTCCCTCCGTTAAGTTATTTAACCTGCCTGCAACCCCAGAGTATACAGTGTCCAGGTGATGCTGGGCTTGTACTTAAAAGGCTCCACTTATTCTTCTCCTGTCTCACTCCAGAGAAAAGTCTTTCCCTTTGGGGGCGGAAAGAGCAGAAACTGATAAGAATACTTTCCCAAGGAAAGCTGTGTCCAGCTTATGTCTCCCTTTGAAAGGATGAGCCACTAACTGTTTAGTATCAAATCTAGTTTTATTAAATCTATAACAAGTCGGCTTGCCCACTATATTCCCCCCTTTTGTCCCAGGGTATTGATGAGAATGGTGGCTTCCTCTCTTCCCTTGAGACTGAGGTATTGGCAATAACTTTGTCCCCTGCCAAGAAGCCTTGGGGTACACCAGAAAGCACAGGCATTACTGTTCTGCAGCTGCAGAAACAGATTTACCTCACTAGGAGATGGGGACAGGACAGGACCTAGGAGAGGAAGAAGGGTATAGGAGACATCTGAATGCAGGAGTTTCTCTGTCTGCTAGAAGGTAGAAATAGAAGCTGGAGTCTAAAAACAAACATTTAAATAGAGCATAGAATGGGAGCTAGGATCTCATTAGCCACTGATAACTTGTAGCACCATGGAGGTCCAAGGAGACAGTGTGGACACAGAAAGGCGAAGGTTCCATGCTAACTAGAGCAGCTTCTCCCTTTCTATGCCCTGCCAGGGAGGCTGAGGTTGGGGATGCTCCATAGTGAGTACTCTCTTCACTCTGCCTTCTTGGGTACGCGGCCCATCTTGGTGCGGATATTCCGAAGCAAGAAGAAGACAACTGTGCTGGCTATACAAATCACTTCTGCCACCCAGAAGGCGGTGCTCCAGCTATAGTGCTTGGCAATGGTACTGAAGGGCAACCCAGCCAGAAATCCGCCCACTGTTGGGGAGAGATAAGAATAAGTCCCATGTGAAGCTAAAGTAGGTAGGCAGTTCTACCTCTAGCAGGCCTGAGCAAGGCAATGCCAGGAGGCAGCTATTCCAGAAAGTACTACTTACCATTCGCCATGAGGCCCACAACAGCATGAGAGGTGCCACACAAGTTGGGAGGTGCACTCTCATTGGCTATGACTCCAAACAAGGCAATGGGACCATAAGAAGAGAAACCAAACACAGCTCCCAACACCAGGATCCAGATCTGCCAGGGCAGGGAGAGCTAGCATTGAGAATTATTGCCCACAATTGCTTAAGGAGAAAAATGTACTTAGCCCTTAGTCAAGCCATAGTCCTTAGCCATCCTCACCCCACTCCCAGTACAGCTGATGACAGAGATGGCAGTGAGCCAGCCCCAAGGGCCTAGGTGGACAGGGTTAGGGGAGTTAAGAGTCATCTCTCTGAGTTGGATGCTGGCTATTTAAGAATTGGTTCAAGCATGGTGAGTTAGGGGCAAGACAGGGAAAACAAAAATAAGACAGACCAGGAGAAAAACCAGAGATATCTTTAAGGCACCTCGTGCTCCGTAAAGCCTGTGAGCTCAGCCAGAGGATGGAGAGCAGAAGTCCAGAAAGCAGCATCCTAGAGAGCAGAGGAAAGAGAAGAAAACCAGGCCCAGAGTGGAGGGGAAGTACCAGAGAGAGAGAGTAAGGTATAAGCTGCAAAGGGAGAAGGAGCTGGCCGGGGAAGAGCGTCCTGCTTTCTCTCCTCGTACCTTGCAGCCTGCCAGGCTCTTAATATTTACCTTGGGTGAGTCACTGGTCACCGTTACCCGGAAGAGGAACATGGATGCTGCCATGCCAGCCATCATGAACAGCAACAGGCCATGACGAGGGTTCCCATACACAGACAGCCCTGCCTACGGACACAGTGCCAGCCGTATCAGGCTCTCCGTGCAAGGCGAAACACCGCCACCCATGGACTCTGACACAGGGCTATTGCTGACAGGTCTTTGGCAATCTGTCACAGTTCTTGGCCCGAGACAGCTCTGGGAGGCCCTAGGAGCTGCTCCATGATCTGAGGCCAAATTCCACAACATCCCTTCCTCCACCTTGGGGCAGGCACGGGACACGTGCTAGGGAGCTGCACCTAGTCCACTGCCCCCCACTAGTTTCCTTGGGGTAGAGAAGAAGCCTACTGAGAGAGTCTGGTTCCCTTTGCCACCAGTTAAAACTTATCCCACCGGTCTTTTCTCCACATCTCAAGCAGACAGGAGAAGCCTGGAATCACTCCTGTCTCACACAGCTGGTGCCAACCAGCCCACATGCCAGGACTCCCATCTCTCCATTAGGTAGCCCAGCCATGCAAGGAAGACGAAAAGCCTCTCTTCCTTAATAGTCTTTCCTGCAACTCACCTTGGCCATGGCCCGGTCTGACAGATAGCCAGCTGCAATGCTGCCCACAAGGCCTCCAACCTCCAGGGCGCTCATGTAGGAACTACCTGCATGGAAAATTGTAGGGAGATGGGAGGAAAAAGAAGGAAACATTTCCTCACTGAGGATATCCCACAACGGCTTATCCCAAGATACAGAGATATCTCCAAGGGTGCCCAGCCTCAGGGAAGGAATCTGAATAAATGAAAGCAGAGCCTAGATATCCTGTCTGCATTAGCTCCTGTTTTTCACACCCTTCCCTGTTCAAACCCTCATCTTACCCACTAGGGCGGACTGCCCTCTCTCCTGGATGAGGAAGAACTGGCCCCAGTCTGTACAGCAGGTCTTTACTCCAAAAACTACAAGGTAGCCAGTGGACAGCACCCACAGATAGGGGGACAGCAGCAGATCCTGTAGGGTGCTCTCCTCCTTTGATGAAGCTGGATGTAGGCAGAGAAGAAATAGGATTTGGGCTCTGCTCCTGCTGGCCTGTCCCCCACTGGAACACTACCACAACCATTGGTTACCAGCGGCAAGGCTAGAGTCTGTGGGCACAACCAGGACTGATGAAGGGTAACCCTCAAACCCCTGCTCTTCTCTCCTCTACCTTGCTGCAAAAGCCTAGCAATGAAAGAGAAACTGAATATTGGTACGGATAGACAAAGCACTCAAACCTCTTGAACGTAAGGTGTTATCCAGAACAGAGAGGTCTGTGCTGCCAGAGAAGCCTGGCTCTGCCTTTCAAGGACAGAACTTTACTTCCCCACCCATTCCTTTGCCTCCATCTATTGACAAACACAGGGCAAGGCTTAGGCTAGTCCTAACAAAATTGTGCCAAGTAAAAGGTGAATGAAGGTGCCTTAGGAGTCAGCTTGCTAGATGCTCACCCTTTTTGCCCTTGGAGGGAGTAGGGTCCAGATTTCGGAGTCCAACATCAGCTGGTTCATTGTGGATGAGCAGCAGGCAGAGGAAGGAGACAGCCACACACAGTGCCCCAGACATAGCCAGTGTGCTGCGCCAGCTGTAGCTCTGGGCAAGGATTGTTGCCAAGATAGGTCCCAAACCTCCGGCCAGGTTCATGCTGGTTGACAACACGGCCCACCAAGTGCCAAACTGGGATGGCTCAAACCACTGAGAGACAGAAGGGGGCAGAATAGGAGCCTGGTCTACGTCTACATTGAGGGAACAGCTCAAGTGCAGCAGACCTAGAGACTCACATTACAGGGATGAGGGAAAGAGTGCTTCTACTTGGCAGAGCCAATACCCTCATCTGCCACCCGATCCCCCCACTCTCAAGCTCCTAAAATATCCTGACAAGCAGCAGGAGCTGGCAGAGACCTCCTAAGAAACCTGCTATGGGTTAGGGGTGAAAGGGGTGTGTAAGAAGGGGTGCTCCCAGCTGGACAGTGGTGGCACACGCCTTTAATCCCAGCACTTGGAAGGCAGAGGCAGGCGGATCTACAAAGCAAGTTCCAGGACAGCCAAGGCTACACAGAGAAACCCTGTCTAGGTACCCTCTGCCACAGACAGGTTTGGCAGATGCACTTACCTTCCTCAGGATCTTCCCACAAGGGGGCCAGCCCAGCCCCTGTGCCAGGCCATTAAGAAACCAGAGAGCAGCAAAGACTGGTACTGTGGAGCTCCAAGAGAAGACGACGTTGACCAGACCGACCAGGAGCAGCCCAGAGGAGAAGAGCCAGCGAGCACTCATCTGATCAGACAGCACCCCACTCACAAACTTGCTGATGGCATAGGCTGCGGACTGGCTGCTGGTGATGAGCCCTGCAGCGAAGGAGAGCAGGGAGCAGGACACCTGAGGTGTTAGGGGCAGGGCAGAGGCACAGGACGGGTGGAGGAAGGCAAGGGATCAGGTGTGTACAGGTGCTTGGCAGGGTAAAACAGGTTCCTTCCCAGAGGAACAGAAGGACCCGTGCTATATGTCGGACACTTTGCCTGCTGAACCATGTAGGCTGACTTGGGACTTCTCCACCTCTTGGGTAATTCTATCTGCAACTGTCCAAACTAGGAGGGTGATGTGTTCCTCCCTAGCATTTGCATTTCCCACCTCACCCCAATGCCAAACCAAAGGCCTCAAGAAGTGCTATTGCCCTACCATGTCTGACCGTGGAGGAAAGGGGTCTAGTGAAAGATCTTACTCCTCCTGGAGGTAGCATAGCAGGCTGTTCAAATCACGGATGCTACCTTTGTAGTGCTCACTAACCTGCAGGTACAGCATGTACCCCCAGGCTCAGAGTCCCCCTACATTGCGCCTCCCCGGTACATGAGGGTCACAGGCATACACACCAGATAAGCAACGAGCCCCAGTCCTTCACCCACACCACACACAAGGAGCTCAGCCTTTGTACTTGGTACATGCTTGACTGACTTCCATGCACACACTTCATGCTATACACACCACACTCCAAACAGTGTATGCCACGGCCCACTACTCTACCCCTCCAAGACTCACCCAAATCGTCCTTGTCCAGAGCAATCTCTTCCACTAGAGATGGCATGACGAAGGAGAAGGTTTTGCGGTTGAAGTAGTACAGGCTGTAGCCCCCAAACATGGCTGCGAAGATGACAGCGCGGTAATAGCCGTAGCCTTGGGCTGCCATGGCTGAAAAAGCAGGCCCTGCAGGCCAAGTCACGGTGCTTCTGATCACAGCCTCTTGACGGCTCCTGCTTGCTGCTCTCTTAACGCCCAGATCTGCTGAGCTGTGTTTTTCTGCTCCCTCCTCCACCCAGGCTCTTTATAGCCGCCTTCTGGACAATCATTAAGCCTGGGGCAACAACTAGGGAACCCTGTGTCCTGAGAGGGACAAGAAAACAGTAGATTACTGAGAGCCAAACGGAGAGGAGGAGGGGGGTCCCAGAGGGAGGCAAGCCTGTCCCCAGGACTTCTGCCTTTCCCTCCTTTTCCACAGCTTCTTGCCTGTGAAATCAGCTGTGATTAAAGGCTCAGCCTAATTACTTTTGTCTGCCTGAGCCCAGGGGAGGCAGGGGTAGGATGAGCAGAGAGAGCTGAGCTCAGTATAGCCCTACTCCCTTAGTCAATGAACTTTCTCATTCACTCAGGTTCAGTGAGGTTTCCGGGTTGCCAGGCATCATGGAAGGCGCTAGACTGGTTTTATGCTCAGTCTCTTCCGATCAATACCCTAAAAACCCCACTTCCGAGCCTTCTAGAGCTGACTGCCCCAGTGCCTAGTACACACTGGGGTATAACTTCCCTAATAGGTAGCGGATCCCTTATCGCGGGAACCATTCCATGAACCCCTCATACATGAACAATGAATACACTTCCCTTATACATAATGATAAAACTTAAATATATAAATGTGGCCCGGTAAGAAATTACAACAATACACCATAATAAGGTTCTTACAGCCTATTAATGATGGTTTATTTCTGGAATTTCCCATTTCATTTTCCCACTGCGGCTCGCCTGGGTCACTGAAATGTGCAAAGCACAGCAGCAGATAAGAGGGAGCTAGCTAGCTAGCTGTAATAGTTGCAGAATTTTGGCGGGGGGAAGCAAACCCCTCAGTTCACTCCACAGTGACATGTAGAAGGCGAGCTAATGGTTCCGGTCTGGGTAAGAGCCCTCGGAGCTGCCTCTGGGTCCCTATTACCCTCGACATCAGTCAGGCTTCGGTCCCGCGGGGCTGTAGGCACCGCAGCTTTCGGATCGGCTGCGAGGCCGCTGGAGCAGATGGAGTGGGCGCTAGGGAGCCGAACGTCGCCTCGGGAGGCCCCTTGCTTTGGCGGCCCAGGCTGGGCCTGTCAGGACGGGCTGCACCCTGTGTCCTCAAGCCACCCGGGACACCCGACTCCAGGCTGGGAACTGCGAGTCCTGGGGACAGGAGCAGGAGAGCCGCGGTAACCGAGCTCTGCAGCCACGAGGGCGCGGCGTCCACGACCGCTGTCCCTGGCCCCTGGAACTGTCGCCATCCCGGAAGGGCAGTCACAGGGACAACCTCCGCAGTCGGAAGTCGGGGAGCCCCAAGGCCCCATGCTGGCCCTCCGGTCCCGCCCTCACCGACGCCCCTCCCTCGCATGCCACCCCTACCTGAGCGGAGGCGGTAACCCCACAAGGACGGGGGCGGGGCTCGAGGAAGGCCGGTGCGCACGCACAGAGATGGGCGGGCCTCGGCTTCGCCTAGCGACTGACTGCTATCGGCTGTGGGATGAAGGCGTCACTCTGCCTATCACGCTGCTCCCTGCGTAAGGACAGTGACGCTTACAGATTGAGCACCACATGTCCATTTCGTTCCACCGACCAGTTTCCATAGAGTGCCTCCGGTTACTGTGCACATTCAGAAAACTAAAATAATCACTGCTAGTAGGGGCTTGGCATTTTCTCTTAGAAATAAATTCAATCTTCAGCATTGGAATTCTACGTTGTGGTCAGGCAAATGGGAATAGAGACAAACAATATAGCCCTAGTACTTAAAAGACAGAATCCTGTTGGACGGTGGTGGCGTACGTCTTTAATACCAGTACTCGGGAGTTCGAGGCCAGTCTGGTCTACAAAGTGAGCTCCAGGACCCTGCCTCAAAAAACTGAAAGATAGATTGATAGATTAGATAATAGATAGATAATCCTATCTTTGGGTTCTTTTAAAATCTCTTTAATAGTCATGTATGTACATTAGGGGTGGGGGCGGCGAAAGGGAGTCGCAGGTGTCATCCTCCCCCAGAATGCTGTCTACTTCCTTGAGACCGGTCTCTAACTGATTAGGCTAGGCAACATACCTGGCTTTTTCTTTTTCCCATGGGAGCTAGAGATGGAGTGTAGGTTTGCTCAAGCTCTTTACTGTCTGAGCCATCCCCAACCTCACATTCTAATCCTTGGAGCCATGACTTTGTGGAGACACGGTGAGAGACCCAGCGGGCCTGGAACTCTGGGTGATCCTCCTGCCTCTGCCTTCAAGTATCTACGATTACAGACAGGCCTGTAACCTGACTAGGAGACAGCAGATTAACAGCAGCCTTCCCAGTTCACACCAGGCGCCAACCTTAGATCCCTTAGGGGCTCCACAGATGATTTGCATGAGAGAGCAGGAAAGTTAAACCTGACCTTGACCAACTGTAAGTTCAACACGTGGGAGTTTACGAATTCAGGGCCTCTCTGAGCTACAGGATGAGTTTAAGATGAGGATGGATAACTTGGCAAGACCCAATTATGGAAGAAAAGGACAGAGAAAGTGCATCCATTAGAAATAATGATGAGAGCCAGGCGGTGGCAGCACACTTTAGTCCCAGCAGTCAGGAAGTAGAGGCAAGGGGATCTCTGAGTTCAGGACCAGTCTGATCTACAAGAGCTAGTTCCAGGACAGGCTCCAAAGCTACAAAGAAATCAGTTCTCGGAAAAAAAAAAAAAAAAAAAAAAAACGAACAAAACAACAACAACAAAAAAGATAGATACACTTGTCTGTTCAACTGGTGGACAAAGGCAGGTTAGATAACTGCAAAATAAGTCCTCTTTGGAAATCCAGAACTCATTGTTCACTATGAGGTGTTTTTGTTTTCAGAGACATAATTTCTCAGGACCAAAACAAAAAGCAAACAAAAAAAGAAGTCCCCACAAAAGTGGTTTTTACTTAATAAATCAAAACTCTTAGCCAGGCATGATGACAGGCACCTTTAATCTTAGCAGAAACAGACGGAGCTCTGTGAGTGCGAGTCCAGCTAGTCTCTAGAGTGAGTTCCAGGACAGCCAGAGCTACACAGTGAGACTCTGTCTCAAAACAAACAAAAAAACACAGCCTCCCTCCCAAAACCAAACAAACAAAAATCCAGGACTTTTTTGTTTTATTGTGTAGCTCTGGCTGTATCTCTGAGTGTAGAGAGGAATAGGCTTTGCAGATCAAGCAGGAGTGAGCTGGAGGTTCCAGCTGAACAATTACATCGTAAGAGTCACCTTAGCACAGGTTTCCCCGGGTACCAGCTTCTAAACTAGGTAACTGGAGGAAACTGAGCATGGTGGCATATGCCTTTAATTACAGGATTCAGGAGGCAGAAGCGGGCAGATCTCTGAGTTGGTCTACAGAGTGAGTTTCAGGACAGCTAGGGCTACAGAGAAACCACCTCAAAACAGTAACAAAAGAGAGGGAGGGAGGGAGGAAGGAAGAGAAGGAAAAGGAAAAGCTGAAGCAGAAGCAAAGAAATCATAAATTGCATTGAATCTATGTTGGCTATAAATAGCGAAACAACTCAAAGTTTTGTGATGGATGGACAGTCTACAAGGAATTCTTGTAAACTAGTTTCAGTAACACTCATCTACAACACCAGGACTTGGACTGAGGCAGGAGGATCAGGAGTTCAAGGTCATCCTCAACTGAACAGCAAGTTTGAGGCAACCTGAAACACGTAAAACAACAAAAACCGGCACAACAGCACTTCGGAAGTCAGAAACAGGAGGATCTCTGTACATTCAAGGCCAGCCTCATCTACACAGTGAGCTCCTGGTCAGGCAGATAGACATAGTGAGACCCCATCTAATGCAAACAAGAGCTCACTAACTTCTCTCTCCTCTCCTCTCTCTTTCTGCCTTGAATGTAGGGCATCTTGGGATTTTCTATTACACCATCCCGCAGGAAAATGGCTGGAGATTTTTTAAGCACCCCATATTGGAGAGCAAAGAACTTTTTAGAATAGTGAAAGCCAGAGAGGAAGAGGAGATAAAATGGGACTCTACAGGTGCTGAACTTCTTCTAAGCTGGCCTGCTGCAGCCCAGGCTCTGTGCCCGTAGGCAGATGACAGAACCTAGGCCTGTACTCCCTCAAAACCAAGCTCCAAGGTGCACGCCTTTAATTCCAGCACTCAGGAGGCAGAGGCAGGGGAATCTGAGTTTGAGGCCAGCCTGGTCTACAAAACAAGTTCCAGGACAGCCAGGGCTAAGCAAAGAATCAAGAAACAAAAAGCAAGCTCTAGGGTTGGGGAGGTAACTCAATGTTAGAACACTAGAATATCAGCCTCTAGATTTGATACAGGAGCCTGTGTGTGTGTGTGTGTGTGTGTGTGTGTAATGAAGATTCCCTTAGGCATAGTAGTTCAGATGTGTAATTCCAGCACTTGTAAGACAGAGATGGTTAGAAATTAAGAGAACATACTCCAGAGCACCTGAATTTGGTTTCTAGCATCATGTGGGATGGCTCATATCACCTGTAACCGGCCCCTTTGTGTTCATCAGGCATCTGCTCAGGTATATACATAGTCACACATATACAAATAATTTTTAACTGGGGGTAGAAGGGTGTCTCAGTGGTTAAGAGTGCTATCTAGGAGTACTTTCTTCCAGACAACCTTAATTTGGATAACTGTACCTAGGCTGGGTGGCTTACAATAATCTCACTTCAGCTCCAGGGGATCTAGTACCCTCTTCTGGCTTCCACAAGTACCTGCATGAGCACATGGTATGCAGAGACATTCACACCTATGTATATATGCACATAAATGATTTTTAAAAATTTGGCTTTTATTCAATATGTTAAGACATAATTTAAATAAAAACCAAAAACTTCTCTTTAACAGATGTGAGACACGGGGACAATTAAGTCCCACCCACCTTGTCTGTGTATCACCCCTGTAATTACCACTGATTAACAGATCTAAACAGATTACTTGGGGGAAGTTGCAAACCCACTCCAAAGTTCCAAGAATAATCAAGACTTCTCAACAAATGTTAACACTGTGAAGTTTACCTAATTCCTCTGCATAAATATACATAAACATGCCCATTTCCAAGACATGAAAGCTAGTTGCTGGCATCATTAAACTTCAATTTGGGACTGTACTGCTGTAAAAACAGGGATATTCTCCTAAACAACCATAACACCATAATCACACTCAACACATGCACACAAGTCACGAGTGTGTCAGAAATGTAAGCATGTTGCCAGGCAGTGATAGCGTGCACCTCTGATACCAGCGCTTGGCCCGGGCTGTGGTGGCGCACGCCTTTAATCCCAGCACTCGGCAGGCAGAGGCAGGTGGATCTCTGTGAGTTTGAGACTGGCCTGGTCTACGAGAGCTAGTTTCAGGACAGGCACCAAAGCTTCGGAGAAACCCTGTCTCAGGGTGGGAAAAAACAGTACTAAACAGTATTTGGGAGTCAGAAGCAGGTGGAGCTCTATGTTCGAGGCCAGCTTGGTCTACTGGGCAAGATCTGTAGATGGCCAGAGTTACACAAGAAATCCTGTCCTGAAAATTAAAAAAAAAAAAAAAGGAAAAAAGGGGGAGTGGGAGAGAAAGCAATACAATCTATAGAAAAGAATATTTTATTGAAACAGTTTCTCAATTAACAATGGAACAAAGTACAATTCGATTCAAACCTGTCCAACCAGCCTGAACTACTAATGAAAGAACTCAAACATACAGGAAGGGGGACTGTGTAGGACCTTTAGGTCCCTCTGCCAATGTGGCAAAAAAAAAAAAAAAGAGGGGAAGTTGTTAGGGCAGGGGAGAAAAGACAAAATGACTGACATACCAGGTTTGCTTTGCCCCAGGGTGGAGAAGTCCTAGCTCCTGCTACAGGTGCAATACTGGAGGACAGGCACTCTAGACATGGGCATAGGGGTAAGGGGCGTTCCCTCCTAGCAAAGTACGCTGGGAAGCTGAGCCCTGACCCCACTTCTTTACCCACAAAGTCTGCCTGAGAGTGAGGTGGCATTTTTACATTCATACCATGGTCACTCTGTCCCTCAGTCTCGGGAAAGGGGCTCACAGTAGATAGCACGTCTTTTGGTCAGCCCAGGAGAAAGAGAGAAAGAACATGAGAGAAGGGGTAGGTGTCACAGGAACTAGGGATAAGGATGGGGATAAGGATTGCAAGTGCCTGCAGGATACTTGCATCCTTGCCAACCGTGCTACATACTTCCTGGGCCCAACCAAGGGGTGACAGGGCTTTTACATTCTCTCTCCTTCCCCTGGGCAGGGGATTCTCTTACTTGCTCCCTGTTTGCTCTGGCCACCAGGGGTCGCAGGAACCAGAGAATATAGTTACACAGTCCTGATGACTAAAAGCTTCGGGC